TCTCCCCCTCTCATGGTCGTTGTTCTTCATGTTGCATGTGTTCCTTTCTATATATGAGCTCTTGTTGTTCTGGTTTGGGCTTCTTCTTCTTCTTCTTCTTCTTGCTTCTCAATTTACTGATAATAATAGGGATTAATCGATAAGAGGGAATTATTGCTGGGATTAAAGGATCTTAGGCTAGCTGCACAGGAATCATTCTGGACATAAAAATGAATGTTGAATATCCACACCATGGTATGTCTCTCTCATTGACGGACCTACGTTAAAGCCAAATAAATATTACATAGCAACACCCAAAAAATTGTATAATGCCCCATTAAAAAAATTCATTTGCCCCCTCATTTTTCAAAAAAATTCACTTGCCCCTTTAGAAAAATGCACTTATCCCATATAATTTTTTATGATATAAATGACTAAAATATTTATTCCATTAAAAGATAGTTTTTTATCATAAATTTATATTTTATGAGTATTTAATTTTGTTATGTTATATTCTTAATATACACTAATACAAAAATCCCTATATTTGACCCTTATTTTTGCCTATATTTAATACTTATTAACTATCAAGTATAAAGACATCAATTAAAGTCCATGACATTATTTGAAAGTTAAAAAACATAAAATAAGGTTAGCCTTATGTGATGGTTATCTTAAAAAAATGTCAAGTAAAGTGACCTTAATTACTTAGACAGTTATTTAAAAAAAAAACTATTAAATAAGACTTCCTTATTTAGCAGTTATTTAAAAGATGTGGTAAATATTTATTTCGAGGTTGTTTAAAAAAAAATGCAAACAAATATTTTTAAAATAAATAACAAATATAAGACATCATATTTAGCTAATTCTATAATAATGATAATTTTATAAATATTTAAAAATATTTTAATGAAAAATATGAATATTTATTTTAAATATAAATGATGCCCCCCCCGCTAACGTTCGTGTCTCTCTCTCGCTCTCTCTGCTTCTACGTTCCCTTCCCTCTTCCTCCTTTCTTTCCCTTCCACGTTATCATCTCAATATTTCTTCTTTATGTGGCTTTTTTAATCTTTGGGTTTATGGTTTTGTTGGATTTAAGTTCAAGTGCTCTTTGCGCCTTTAGTTCCGACCTTGCACCGCCATCTCCGCTGAAGATTTCAGTTTGCCTTTCATCATCTTTTTATCATGCTTTCTGGTTTTATCCCACTCTTTTATGATATAAAATGGCTTTTTTGAAATGGAGTTGATTTTGGATTTTTCGTTGCTGGTGGTTTGATTTATGGGGCTTCGTTTTCAAATATATACTATGCCATGTGTTTCTTCCGAGTTTAATTTCTTCTTCTATTCTAACGTCATGCTCTTTTTACCTAATTTGTCTAGGTTTTTGATGGTAATATAAATGTTTTTTCTTTAGGTAACTAAAAAATTGCTTTATACTTTGAGCTTCAACAGCTGTTCAGTTTGCCATAGCAAATTTCGTATACCACTCTGTATTTATCTGTTTCTCTTCATTAATATTTGTTGCTGTAGCTGTAATTTTTGTGAGAATATTTCACTGAATTTGATTTATATTACATAATTTTTATTTGGAATTTCTACAGCTCACGTGGTGGTGTTATATTGTCGTACATGTCAGAATTGAACTATGGATACCTCTCTGATTTGAAGAAAGTTTCCTTTCAAGCTGCAGAGACGCTTTAAACAAACAATAGCTCGATGAGTATTTCTTCAGTCCCCTCAATAAACTTACATTAACAATGTATTTAAAAAAATGTTATCTTATCATTGAAACAAGGGTTAAGGTATAATTTTATTTTAAAATTATTTTTAAAAAAACAATGTTACCTTGAAATCACTCATCATAGTAATATTGTCCATAAACTAATTAAATTAGAGCGATATTACTCTTACTATTTAAACGTTTATTATTGTAGCTAGTGGACTCACTTTTCATGAGTTAATATACAATTTTATTTTTAAATTATTTTTAGAGAAACAATGTTGCCCTTACTATTTAAAAATTATAAAATTAAATAAAAATCAAATTATAATAACATTAAATGAAATAATATTAAATGTATATATAAATATAAAATTATAATAATATTAAATAAAAATAATATTAAATATATATATATAAATAAATATAAAAAATATAAATTATAATTTTATAACTTGTTAAATATAAGTGAATCTTGATTAAATTAGATATGAGTAGACTCAAAAGTATCGATATTTTATTAACATATATAAATTTTTTTATATTTATTTTATGTATACATTTAATATTATTTTACTTTACTTTTATTTAATTTTATGATTTTTAAATAGTAAGGGCAACATTACTTCTTTGAGAATAATTTAGAAATAAAATTACACATTCACTCATGAAAAGTGAGTTCCTCTAACTACAGGAACAGACATTTAAATGACGAGGGCAATATTATATTGCTCCGATTTAATTAGTTTAGAGGCAATACTATTATGATGAATAGTTTAGGAATAATATTGTTCTGTTGATAATAGTTTAAAAGCAAAATTGTACCTTAACTCTTAGAACAGTTTTCATTATACTTGAATTTAAAAACTTCTCTGTTGATTAAGCCTTAATGAGGGTGTTGTAACAATATCAGGGATTATACTACTCGATGGTTTTGGATTACCCGTATCCAAGAAAAAAAAAAGATGCTTGCTCTGTAGCTTGTTTTTTTTTTTTTTGGGCATTTTTCCTGTATTCCATTCAAAATGGTTTCACGATTCAGGGCTTTGTCCCAAAGTTATTGACGTTGCATTACAATTTCTGCAAATTTAGGTTTGTTGCCAATATTTGTTCAGATAATAAATTTAGGAGCTTTCTTTCTGACATCATTTTGGAAACATAATATTTTTACGATGTTACATGGTTGTCTATTGATGTAATTCAAACTCCAACCATTTGATATCACATTGTGAAAGTTGTGTAGGGCAGGATAGAAGCTTGCACGCTTTCTGCTGTTTTGTTTCAAGAGTTCATCCATCGTCGCTTTAATGATAAAGTTTCTCATAAGCATAAACTAAACCTGATTAAAATGACGAGGCGCGAAGGTAAGTATCTTTAAGATCAATTTGTTATGTTGACCAAAATGGACTGAAAAGACCTTGTCAGTAAGTTGTTTCTATTAGTTTCATTTTGATTTTTTTTTTACCCCCCTGAATGTTCAATTTTTAAGGTAAATTTATTGATTATTGATTACCCTTGCTCATCAATTTTGCTTTCTCTACTATAAATAGGAAAAAGGGACTCTGACCTATGTCAGATAGACACAACTCTTGTAAGGCTTTAAGCAATTTCTTTGTTCGAAGAAGCATCTGATCTATTGTTGCCTTTCTCTTTGATTTTTTATTCTCTAAACTCTAAAGTCCAAACCTAATGTTTGTTATAATATCGTGTGCTCTGCCTGGGAATTATTCTATCAGACATGAAAATAGATTGGGATCTCATCCTTGCATGGATAATTTTACTAGAGTATTTCTTATTTTCTGCTGCCTGATTTCTTTTGAATATTAAAGAAAAAGAAAAAGAAATACATTATTTTGTTAGCTAAAATGGTAAGAATATGATTAGCAAAATTTGACAAGAAAATCTTAGGTCAACACACAAATTTTAGTTCCTTCTAACTATCTTTAGATTCTTCAAGCTTATTGTTTTGTCTTTTCATCGCAATTGGCTTTTTTCTCAAAGTTACATTGTTGACTTGCCATGTATGCATGAAAGATCAAGATTTGAAACTATTACACAGTAATTCTTGTGATTTTACGCCATTAGCAGCTATAATCTGAACCAATATGATTTGTTTTCTTCCCTCTTTAGTTTCCTGATTTCTAGCTTTATTTGCTGATTGAAGTGGCTAATTAACGTTTAATCCAATGGATTTTTTTTAACCGGTGCATTAGATGATGATGACGACGACATATTTGATGAACCAATACTTAAATGCATTGTAGATTGCAATAAAAAGTTTAAGATATTGCTAAAGAAAAGCAACTGGGTGATCACACTATTATAAAAATGGGATTCAATAACATACATTTTATAACAACAAAAAAATACCACTATATGAAAGCTGAAGCATATTAAATGACATTTTTTTAATGAAATGCTACTATTTATTAATTATTTTTTATTTATAATTTTATTAAAAATAATAAGAGGTGACGTTTCTTTTATAAAATGTTACAGTTCGTTGTTATTGAACAATTCATGGCATTTCAAAAAGAAATGCCACCTAATAATTATGATAATATTACAAAAAATAATTTTATTTATTATAGTTATTATAATTATTATTATACTTAATAATACAACTGTTGCAATTTAATTTTTATTTTTATTACTGTAATTATTTGTATTATTGATATAATGATTTTTATTTATTAATAATCTAAAAATTTTAATTATATTTAATAAGAATTATTTATATTATAAAAATAATAACTATTAAAATATTATTTAAATAAATATTTTATTTAATTAATCTTAAGTGACATTTCCTCTTAAATTTATTTTATTTGATAGTTAATAATTTTATTCTAGAATTCAAATTTTAATAAATATTTTATAATAAATATGTAATAAATTTTAGGTTACTTTTCCTGGTTGAGGAAACACAACCTAATAATTTTTATTTTTTTATTTAAAAATATATTATTTTTAATAATTAATTAATTAATATAATATTTAAAAATATTTTATTTAATTAATCTCATAAGAAATGCTGCCTAATAGTTTTTATTTATTTTTATCAAAATATGTAGTCTCTAAATGCTGTAGTCGCTCTCATTATCTTTTCCATTTGAGGTTGTTTTTGTACAAGTACACCAATAACATGTTTCTTTTTTCTATTTTTCTTACCTCTTATCTACCTATCCATATGTATGTATGTATGTATGGATCTTCATGATGTTGCTTTTATTTCTCTTCAATTGATCATTTTTCTTTCCACTCTCCAAGGATTTGTCTTTTTTTAATTTGCTAACATGCACATCTGTTTGTGAAATAATTTTTTTGGTTATAAAGCATTAGTGAGATCTGGGGAACAAATCATGAGATCTTCAATTTTCATGCTTTCAATGATCAACGGTTCAATTTTATCAAGTTTTGCACTTTTAAAGAGGTAATAATGATAATCTCTATTTAATTATTGAGGAAGAAACTTATTTTTAATTTAAAATTTGTCCCATTTTTCTGGTATGTATCTATTCCAAGCACTTTGATGTTTCTTTACATTAGTCATAATTTTTTTAAATTAATTTTTTATTTGTTTTTGTTGTAGGTATTGCTTTTTACAACTATGTTGCAAAAATTACTGATAAATCTTATTATATCTCTTAATTGATATTTAATTTATGTTTTTTCTTTGTCCTTAATTTTTTATGACCTTGCTAAATTTATTGAAGTTTTGTATAGTGTGAAATTAATTAATTATTTTTATTAATTGTATGAATAAAGTTTATTGTATAAATTAATTGTACCTTTACTAAAAAAAAATTATGTATATGAATTGATGGATAATTGGATGTATAAGAGATTATATATATATATATATATATATATTAAAAAGTATTGCTTTCTAATTTAAAAAAATAAAAGAAAATAGGTGGTATTTCCTCTTTCCTTTTATTTTTTAGGGAAAATATATGTGCGAGTCTAGTTTCACTCAATTTTGAATCAGCTCCCTGAAGTTTATTTTTTTTAATTGAGTCTTATAGCTTAACCACTTAATTTTTTTAATCCTTGAAAGTTAAAATTCTTACATTTTTCCTTTAAAAAAACAAAATTAAGAGTTTTTATTAAATGATTACATGACTTTAGAATTAATTACATAATTTTTATAACTCAAAATTTATATATTTATGTTGTCTTCTAAATATTTTTTATACATGTAGAATATTCATAAGAAATTATAATAAAAATATAAACATCGGATCAAATTAATTTTTTTTTTACTTTGGCCAAAAGTATTAAATTAATTTTTTTACAAACTCTAAGAGTATTTTGTTGTGCAAAATTTAATAATTCATCATTAATTTTAACCTCAAGGGGTCGATATATATAATAGATAAAATTATAAGGGCTTCATTAAAATAAATTAAAACTGTAGAGATTTAATTCAAAATTGAGTAAAATTATAAGGACCTACAAATATATTTTCTCTATTTTCAAAAAAGTAAGTAGAGAGGAAACACCACTGCTCTTGTTAGCTTCTTGTGATATTTTATTAATTAATGAAATGTCACTTAAGATTTAAAAAAATATTAAATTTTATAATATTTTATAAATGTCATAAAATTAAAATTTTAAACGTCACCAAAACTTATTTCTATAGTGAGAGGAGGAGGAGGATGCAAACATATCGGTGAAACAGAATCAGATTTCATTGTCCATAAGAAAGAACGAAGTCATTCGTCCAAAAAAAAACGGCAGAAGTTGATGAAGAGGGGCTCTTGACGAGGTAATTTCTATCTGGAGATTACTTATTTTGTCACTGTAGATCGATTTGTTAGATAATTCATGTGACTATCTATTACACTATTGCTATATATTTTATAGGGGAAGAAACTGCGGAGAAAGAAAGCTAGTGGACACTAGGAGTACTTTTGCTTTAGTTTGTAAGAAGCTCAAGAATTGCTTTGTCATATTCACGAGTTGCTGCAATCTCCATAGCATATGATAAAACTACATGAATATTAGAGTCCGAACTTGAAGATAATTGAGCCTGCCCCATTCCAAAAGTATATGACAAAATGATGATTGAATTGGGGAGCTCGATATTCTAGAAAGAAGATTAACTACAAGTCTTCTGAGATCACTAATGACAACATTAAAAATTTGAAGCAAACATTTATGATTTATCTCATAGATATTATCGTAATGACTAGACTCTTCCTCAAAAGAGATTGTATAGGAAGCAAAAATTTGTGCTCACTTATTAGCTCAATTATCTCATAGGATCAGTGGTGACTTTTGTAGCTATAATCATCGCCCACTTGGTGATTAGTTTGTACTGTCTTCTGTTAGCTATTAATATAGTTTCCATATTTATTAATATATCTCATAGAATTTTTTTGTCTCATTTATAAGTTGGGTTATCAATTTTCTATCTCATATTTTTACCCTCCATTAAATACTATTGAGAAAAAATATATTAATAAGTATATTTAATAAAAGTAAAATTGATATTACAGTTTGAAAATAAACCAAAATCATTTTTGTCAACTGAGGATTAATATTCTCGTGCATGACATGGGGTGTAAAATCTAGCTAAGTATTACAAGACAATGGAAGAATGACTCTTAAGTCTTAAGAGAACTAATTAATTCAAATTAAATAACAATCAATTTCAAATTGCCAACAAATTAAAGTCTTTTAGTCTATTAAAGGTAATATAGAATATCTAACAGCTTTAGGGATTCACAAATTTGCCTCACAAATCTATAATTTCGTTTTAATGAATTTGTAACTTGTTTTTTAAATTTATGTTCTCTGTTAAAATTTAAAAAATAATTTACAAATACATCATAATGAAATTACAGATTTGTGAGGCAAACTTGCGAATCCCTAAAGTTATATACTAGACTTGGTATTTTGTGATTAAAAAATCGATGGGTTTTGTTAGCATTCTGAAATTGATTAGGTTTAGTTTGAATTAATTAGTTTTTTTGGAACCTAACTGTTATTTTTTCCTAAGACAATCTTATTTTTACATAAACTTTGAAATTTTATTAAACAATAGTTGATCAAAAAAAGAATAATTTTGATACACACTCCATCCGTTTAAAAATATAAGGCAGTTTTAAATGAATCTCACTCCTAATAAAGTAATTACTTGTTTTTAAACTAATCCTATTTTTTCATATTTATTCCTATTTAATATGGTGTTTTACCTTAAAAAATATAAAATAATTTATTCAATATGGTCACTTTTAGAAAAAAAAAGGTAATGATTACATTAAAAGATTAAAAATACCTTACATTTGTTAATATCTAATTTTTAAAAAATATTTTATATTTTTTAACAGAGGGAGTACTAAATAGGAATAATTAATTTATTTATATATAACTTGATGTTATTGTAATATATAGGAAGAATGACAAAGAGGCCCCAAAAGAATCAATTAATTTTAGTTAGGTTTCAGGTGCCAAACTTTAAAAATTTATAACTCAATCTCTTAATTTTACAACTATGTTGTGATAAATCTGCAATTTATTGTCTAAATTTTAATATAATTAAAAAATAAAAAATTATTTTCTCTGTTAAAATTTAAAATATAAGTTACAAATTCATTAAAATTGTAAAATTAAAAAATTGACTTCACATTTTAAAATCTAACATTTAAAACCTAACTTAAATTAATTTATTTTTTTAAATTTTTCTTTCATTCTCCCTAACATATGTTGATTCCTGGTCACTTTTAAAAGCTTTCATCCAAGTGCAATCAAGATGTTTGTTTAAAATTTAATAAGTAATTTTAGTTAAGCAGAACAGTCAATTTACCGACGTGTCTAGATGCTACACACCTGTCATCATGAATTATCGCTTCCATAACAAATCGAAGAGATTGATATCACTAATGAAGTAATAAATTAAAATTAAATTACACCATCACCAATCGTGGATCCGTGGCGCAATGGTAGCGCGTCTGACTCCAGATCAGAAGGTTGCGTGTTCGATTCACGTCGGGTTCAATTCCCCTTTTTTGTTTTTTATTTTTCTTTTTGAGCTGAAATTCAAGGTTCATTCTCCGCCGCCAAGAGAGACGCTGACATCTTCCCAGAATCCCAACCAAGTGATGGTTTTTCTTTTCTTTTTTTTTTTCTTCCCTTAATTTTTACCGACACATTGAATAAAATCGGTTGCTTTTCTTTTGTTACAAAGTTGCCATGCTTTTTAACTGACTTTGCATGTCTTCATTGTGAATTTCTTTTTAACAGTCTTTGATTCACTAATCTGTTATTTTAAATTGAGTCTTTTTTCTTTAATGAATCAACTGAGTCTTTTTTTAATATCTGGTTTATAAAGCCCATCTCATAATCAGCCGTTATGTTTTTCTTTCATTACATTCACTATATGTTGATTTTTTTCAACCTACGAAATTTAAATTTTGTGGGTCCATTTGCTTGTAATTGTTTCTTTGTGATTTAATGAAATTTGATCTTTGTTAAAAAAAATTAAAAAAATAAAGCAAAATAAAATCGATGGCAGAAAAAATGATATTTAAATAAAAGGTTTAACAAGAGGAATTGATCTATTGGCTTTTTGATGACTCCCTATTGTTAGTTATAATTGAAGTGTTTTTTTATTATATTTTGGGAGTCATCAATAAAAAAAATATTTCCTTGTTTAAATAAAAAAAGGTTGAGTTCATTATTTTGGTTGAATGTAATATTTTTAAGAAAATGATTTAAGTTTGTTGAAATTAAAGTGAGTAAGTGACCCACTCATAAATATTCGACTTTTGGTAGGCAGCCGTGAAAAGCCTAAGCAAAGAAATAAGAGATAGTGGAGGCAGAAATTTGCTGAAAGACTCACTAATGGCATAGCATATAAAGTCAAGGTGCCATATACAGCACCAATGGTAAGAAAAGCAAAACAAGTAAAATTGTTCTCTGGTGCCGCATCACCATAGTAAGAGTGCCATGGTTAGAGTCAATAATTTAGACCAAATTCGACAGATCAATCTGAACTCATACAAAAAATTTAGGGTCAAGTCTAAAAAAATATTAATTTTTTAATGTCTGAGCCTTTTTGGGTAGCCCAAAAGGACTCGAGGAAATTCGAGCAAAGTTCGATCGGGTTCCGGCTTAACCCGAACACCCAAATAAAAAAAATTTAAAAAATGTATAAAATATGATAAATATTAATTAATTTTTTAAGTTTTATATTATTTTATACCAAAGTACTATATATTTGAGTGTACTACTATAGTTAATTTTTTTAAAAAATTAAAAATAGTTATATGTTCATATTTTTATTATTTTTAATCAATACAATGTCTCAAAATAATATTTAAAATATATTTTAATATTAATTTTTATATTTTAGATCCAATTTTTTTTAAAAAAAATTTGAATCCTATACATCATTTGCATATAAAAAAATTAATTTTATATTTTTATAAAATAAAATAATTAATTTTAAAGTAAAAAAATAAAATTTAGGCATATACAAATTTTTGACTCTACTACTAGAAAAACATAATAAATAGAATAATATTTTTAAATAATTCATTATTATTCATGATACACTTGGTTAAAAATTAAGAATAAACTAGTAAAAAAATTTTTATATGTAAAGGTTAAATAATATAAAAAGTTAAAGAAAAATAATTTCAAAAATAATAATATTTTACTTATAATTAAAAAATTTTATTTTATATAATATAATGATGGTTATTTTTTTTATATTCATAAAAATAAAAAGTATAATTTACCCAAAAATTATTAAAAACTTTGAATTAATAGGGATAATAATTTTAAGTTAGTTGTCTAACTGTGATTGAATTGAGATAAATTTAATCATAATTAAAATAATATAACAAAAACAACAACAAGTCTTTATCCCACTAGGTGGGGTCGGCTACATGAATTGCAAGACGCCATTGTGCTCTATCATTTATCAAGCTTTTAGGAATATTATTAATTACATTATGGTGCGGTAAGCGTGGATAAGTTATTAAAATATATATATAACATTTATATATGACTATGATAATAAAAATATTTAAATAATTAAAATATTAATTTATAAGTAAAGAAAATATTCATGAATAAATTATACATAATATAACAAAATAACAACAAAATTACTTAAATACAAAGTTGATAAGTTATTTTTTATTTTATTTTTTTAAATTTAAAATAATATTTTATGCTTAATATAATTATTTTAAAATTAACATTGATTTATAAAATAAAGAAAAAAATATTTTAAAAAAGTTTTGCCCGAATACCCAAAATGTTAGGGCACACCATTGCTCTATTAGTGCTTAAGTTTGAGGGCCTTTGGAGACATTTTGAAATTTCCTAACATTAAATGTAAATCCCTTGACACTGCTGTCGAATAGTACCAAAATTAATAAAATTAAATTTTATAATAAAGTACAACCTAGGTCGTCTTCCTAAGAATTAATAGAGTAACTATTTAAATCATGATTATGAAAAGGTAAATAATGGGGGGATTTTTTATGATGGAATTAATTTAAAAAATAAATTAAAATTAAATAAATAAAAATAAATTCAATTGAGAAAATTATCAAATACAAGCAGCCAATCAATTGCAACTCAATCACCTAAACTTAATCTTCCTCGTCCACCAAATAAATTAATTTTATTTAACTTTATTACTCTAAGTTTACTATAGATTTTTCAAATTATCATTCAAGAATTAAACAATATATTAAGCTATAGATTAATTAAAATATCCCTTAACTTATAACCGAACAATTATTTTGAGTTAGTTACATCAGAAACAAAACATGAATAATCACTCAAGCTAAGCCAAAATACTCTTAAGATGCTATATCAATTGACTATAGCAAGCAAAATTTCAAATAAAATTTATAATCTAAAAATTATGCAATAAAACTACTCTAATTAGTAATAGCAATTAAATCATAAAATTTAAATGTAGAGAGAATAAGAGCAAATTGAAATAAAATTAAAATAAAATTTTTCCTAAATATTAAAGACTCTAATTAAAATTTAAGATCATATTTTGTGATTGATTACATTAAAAAGTTAGTTATTCATAAAATTAAAAATCAAACAGCATAAGACAATAAAAAGAGAAGCTATCGCCTAAGGGTCTGTTTAGTTTAAGAGGAGGGGAGGGAAGGTTTTCCCCCCAACCAAACACATCCTAAAAGAATTGGAGAACAAAAAAAGACGACGATCGTCACAGCCCCTCCATTCCTTTTATCTCTATGATGGTCGCGCTGTCTTTTTCCAATTCTCT